AGATATATATATATATATATATATATATATATATATATATTAAAAACAACTTTCACTAAGTTTGTTAATAAACTTGGATAAGTTTGCTAATTCATAGCAACATCACTGGTTTAATTTTACTGATAATTTATCATTAAAATTAGCTAAAATTAAACTTATAATTATTAATATTATACTGAAATTCGACATATTTATTAATTTAAATGATGTATTACATGATAAAGTTGATATACATTTACTAGATATGTACAGATTTATTTAGTTGTGTGTGAAAGATTTGTTGCAGTTCATCTGTTTCATTAATACTAAATGTTCAAACTTTATTGATAAAACTGCAACCGACTAAAGCTGAAATTAAAATGAATTACTTTTACTATAAAAACTATTACTATAAAATTCATTTTTACAATACACATTACAGACAAAACCATGATGTTAATGTTTAAAATACTAAAATGTCTCATTTTAATTTTAGAGTAGATTACATATGATGATGATGATATAAACAATCAAGCAGTTGAGATTTGCTATACAGTATATAATAAAACTGACATTTTAAAATGTTATTTATCGTAGGAGCTGCTACACTTAGTTAGCAGCTAAACATAATGAATGATGCATTTAGCCGTGTGAGCGTGTCCCGCTCTGATCTTACCGGGGCTGCACGGGGGCCGACACAATCCGCCGGTCTTCCTTCTGGCATGGCTTCTGTAGTCCATCTTTATTCTCAACACATATCCAACCCACTCTTATGCCTCTTCTCATAACTTGTACGCACTCCAGCGCTTCATCCATAACACTGGGGAAATTCTACACCGGTGTAATCATATTTCACACAGAAGCAGAGCTCTCCCATGCACTGCCCAGGTGCTGTCAGTCAAAACACACACGCCTTCAAAGCCCACAGCAGATCAATGACAGTCATGAGCCTGAGAGGATATGGCCGAGAATGTGAAGGGGAACTGAAAGGTTAGACAGAGAGAGAGAGAGAGAGAGAGAGAGAGAGAGAACAAGAGGTGACCACTGGGAGACGTGGGAACACTTGCTGACAGTATCGTGTGGGGGTCACTGTGCAGACAGTGGAGATATATGCGGTGTATGGTTACGGGCAGCGGGGGTCAGGGGGAAGAACAAACCAATGCTGGATATCCCAGAGCTGTCACATTTCACAGCTGATCTCCTCTGCATCTCGGGGCCTGCATTTAAAGGCAGGGTGACTTGGTTCAAAAACATTTTTTGTTATGCTGGTTGGAAGTCTCTTCACATCCCGAGAGCAATCACTAAGTTAAGAGGTCTAAATGTATTTATATGTATTTATATCATCTGTGGAAGGTGTAGGACCATAAAATGTTCGTCCAATCATATTCCTCGGTCCGATAGGCTGTCCTACCTGCCTGTCAACGTATGTATTTGCAAACCTCTTTCACACATGATCCGTTATCATCAGCGTGTTCTGTTACTCTATTGCAGACTGAGCGAGAATGGAAGAAGTTATTATTGTAATATTATGCGCTTTGTACTGTAATGTTTTCTCGCCGGTGAATGAGACATGAGTTAATCTGACAGCGTTGTATTCAATCCTCCATCAACGCCGTCTCTCATCGTGTCGCTGGTTAGCCTCTGCTCTGCCGGTGTGCGGTCATGTGTTTTGGAGGCGTGGCTTTGGAGAGTGATTTGCAGAGAGGGTGGGATCTTATGCTTTCAGAGTTAGCTTGCTATTGCTAGCCTCTGTGAAATCGCCTACCCTACCTTTAAGACGCTTTTTCGATGATCCAATCGAGAAATTTTAATCAATACTAAATTTTAATTGAATTATTTGTATGCACTACAATTAATCAAATGAATCAGATATTAATACTGGCTGACAACAGCACCCAAATAGAATGATTATACATTTTTAATAAAGTGTGTTTTTGTGCTGCACCACGGTTGGTTTAGACCTGTTTAAAAACGCCAGTAGATGGCAGCCCAACCCTATCTTAATGAGTGATTCTTTGACTCATCCGTTCAAACAATTCATTCAAACCAGTTGATTCATTTAAGACGGGCATACACTGTGTGAGTTCGGACACTCGGGAGGTTATGATGACCCATTGCACACATTACGAGTCAGTTAACCTGATAACTGTGTCGAAGCAGTTGATTTTTGGCACAACTGTACTGGCCCGGGATGCTCAAACAAAATCAAGAGCACCCTCAGCTGAAGCTGTAATAATAGCATATTATATATGCGTATATTTGCGTTTGCGCTCTGCTCTGGTTTCTCTTTACAATGTGTTTTTGCAACATTGGGACATATCTGTTTCAGACATATATGATTTCTTGATTTCACAGACATAAATGATTTCTTAATGGCCAATCAGAGGCATTTATGTTAGAATCCACACATCGCTTGAAACGCCAGAGTTTTGTCCAGTGTTGAGTTCTGCACGCTCGCGAATCATCTCATTTTTACAAAGTGCAGAAGACTTATCATACAGTGTAGAGATATTCATTGATTATAACGGAACTTTGTGAGATCACGATGAACTAAGGTGAGTGATAGCTTTTTAGTGTTTATAGCGCTCTTTGCGCCATAGCAGTGGACGGCACAAAAATATATGTCAAAATAGATGTGCATTAAGGTTAGAGAACCCTAATTTCAGAAGCACCCTCAGTGATTTGATTCTGGATGAGGGCCTGAACAGAGAACACCACAGCCATTCCAACAGAACCAATTAGAGAGTTTTCCTGACTCATAGGTTCTTTACATGCATTCTACTAACAATCACATAATATACTACGTGGTATAAGCTGGCTGGCCTGAGATTGCTTGCTCAACATTTAAAGGGGTCAGGACATGAGAAACCAAATTTCCCCTAGATCTTTTGACATAGAAGAGGTCTTTGTATGCTTAATACATAAAATAATAATAATAATAATAATAAAAACATGTCATTACCCCTTTAATAGTCTGATTCAATGTTTGCTGTAAACTGGTCTTGCAGGGCGCTATCAGAAACCCTCCACCTCCCCCAGCACCACATGTCTAGATCAGCTGCAAGATTGATGTTAGGGCTGGGCGATTTTCCCGATTTTATCGATTAATTCGAATTTACTGTTTTGCCACAATTTTATTTTGTAGAAATCGAGGAATTGCGATTTTGAATAGAAATATTACCAAATGTTAGAATTAGACGCTGCCAATATGCCGGTGACAACAGTAAAGAGAAAAGAACGATCCAGCCGCATGTCGGTGCACGTGATTAACCGCTCACGTGTGACGCGCTCAGTGAAGGACCATAAATATAGGCTAAGCACCATCACACAGAATGCGCTTTTGTGTTGACAAAGATGCGACGTGGGCAGTGGAATAGGTAAAACATGCAAGAAGATGGGAGTGAACTTCTTTTAACTTGAGCGCAGTGTTTTTAGAAAGCAGTTTCATGCATGAGACGCTGCAAGAGACGCGAGCGCAATAGTCAAACACATCCATGTTTACACAGAAAAAACTATGGAAAAGCAGCGCAATCGAATAAAAAACCTGTAAAGAACTACTACTGTAATGTATGGCTGATATTTAATGTTTGCATCATGGTGACAGGCTGAAAGCTGCTGTTGTTTTTAAAGAAAAGTCTACTGGTGTTATACATTCAGTCATTTTGAATTTGAATTACCTTGACTTTTGAGATTTTCTAAAATAATTTTCCTCATATTATTTCTGAACACATAATATGTATAAGACAAGTTTGTACAATATGTAGTTGTAGTTTTTGCATCTTTTCTGCAAAGATATTTAACAAGTGATTTGTTTAACATTTACATCATGTTGACAACTTCATGTGCACTGCATTTGGAATAGAATTTTCTTTAACTAGAGGGTTAATAAAGAAAAAGTAAATTGAATCATGTTGTAGTTACATTTTCAAGTTGACTAGTTAAAAATCGTAAAAAAACGAGAATCGGTCAAACATTCTGGAAAAATCGAGATTTTAATTTTTTTGCAAAATCGCCCAGCCCTAATTGATGTATGCATATTCATGCAGCAGCGGCATATCTGACATGCTCACAGAAGCGTGTCTGTGTATCTATTGGCAGTAGCAAGTCTGCAGCAGCATGTGTAGCAGATCTAGTCCGCCAAGACCAAATATAGTAACACTGTCAAATCCATTAACATGCTAAAGCTATTCGAAGAGTTGTCATGATTTAAATATTATATAATAATTGCTTTAATGGAACCGTCAGACCATTCTCACTGCATCCAGCACTGGAGGAAAGCTGATCATTTCACAAATCAAGACTGAACATATTGAAAAATATTCTATTGAAATAATAAACTCGGCATAAAATGGCATTCACACCACATTTTAGCATTGAAAACTGACATTTCTGAATGATACAGGACACGAAACAAAAAAATATTATTGCCATAAACTTTAAAACATTAATGTTCGGGGGGGGGGACTAATGCTATTTCATGCATTCTGACTTATTTACACTGCTAAAGAGTTGGATTCTCATGCTAAACATGACCAAAGTCTCAAAAAACGAGTTCAAGTCAAGTCAAATCTGCTTTATTGTCAATTCTTCCACATGTACAGCACATACACACAGAGAATTGAAATTGCGTTACTCTCAGACCCTTGGTGCATACAGATAACACTAACAGTAGAACATAAATACAGATATACAGATTAAATATAAAATACAACTATACAAATATACAAATAAGGTAAAAAGTAAAAAAAAAAATATATATATAAAAAAACAAAAAACAAAAAACAAAACAAACAAAAAAAAAATATATATATATATATATATATATATATAAAGCAGCACACGGCAGATAGAGTGCAAACCAGTGCAAACCATACGAGTTGGACGTATGACGGAGTACTTCCGTGCAAAAGCTCATTCAAGGTTCGTATAAGTTTCAGAAATTTTTTTTTCCGAGTATGGCCCTGCATGATGTAATGAAGGGCTGAATTCCTTGTATGGGCACTTCTCCCGGAAGAGTGCGCACACATCAACCAGAGCAAGAGCAGCCCACCAATGCGCTTCATTCAGGATACGGAAATCATCAGGATCCGATTCTGGATCGAATAGCCTATATATGGCTGAATCAGATTTTTAGTTAATTTAAGTCAATAAAGTTTTTGTTCCTGTTTTATTGCAGACAATCGCTACGCAAAAGCTGCGCATGCTTGTGACTCTTTAGCTCCGCCCACGGCACGCCTCCAGGAGCTCGACTGGTTTCGGAGAGAAGCGGCACATCTGTTTCTGTCTTTAATAAATCTGATAAAACTAAAGACTCTTCAGAGATATGAAGCATGCAGCACTACTCTATAGGTACTCAAGATTAACATGAGATTGGCAGAAACTGTGTGTGTTATGTCTCTTTTAACCAGCAGTAGATTATTATATTATCGGCAAAAGTCAATATGAATTCCATTCAACAGTATAGTCTAACCAATGACTTAACAGCTATTTGGCTATTGGTTAGCATTAGTTAACCAATTAGTTAAGAAATTTTGATGATATATTATCATATATTATCAAGACAACATTTGTATTGTCTGAATTTTGCATAAAAAGATCAGAAACTTGTAATAAGAAAGTAAAGTTCAATTTGATTTCGACTAAATATTGGTTTTGGTGAAGGTGATGATCCCACATGTTTGGAGGATATGTGTGTCAGGTCACCTTGAGTCTGGATGAGGTGAAGGATTTTGCCTGTGGTCTGCCGGATGGCGTCATTATCAGAGACTTTATGCTCCTCGTTCAGTCTTTCCAGCTGACTCAGCACCATCAGCACCCGGGAAGCACTGGGAATACAAGAAACCATCACAACAGGCAAAGTACACCATCATCAAAGCTTACTACATAGGAAAGATGTGTCGCACCTCTTTAGGCAACATCAGGCAGTCAACAAACTATGTACACTGCATATCGTCATCACAGAGCAACTAATGCATGTGTGTGTGTGTGTAATTTTGGGAACAAATTTGTACCCAGAAGTGAGCCAAAACCTCCTTTTAGGGACACATTTGTAAACATGGTATAATATAGGTATATATTCAGGTATATATTCAGCATTTTTACAAAAAAAAATTATATATATATATATATATTTTTTTTTTTTTTT